AATTCTATCCAAAGGAATACTGACAATGGATTGGCGTAGATGAGGAACAGCTGACCCTCCTGGAACAGGGACCTCTGGCTGACTAGATTTACCAGAAGGGCAGACAGGGGGGAATGGATGAGGGTGCTGACAACACAGTGGACAGTGACAGAGATGGCAGAGTATGGAGCCTCTAGTGGGAGAGGAAGTCTGTCTATCTGACGAGTTTGTATAAAAAAAAATATTTTAATATTTTATTTTAATTTTATGTGTATGAGTGTTTTGCCTGCAGGTATGTAAGTACACCCATGTCATAAAATGCCTGCAGAGGCGAGAAAAGGATGTCTGATGTCCTGGAACTAGAGTTACAGATGGTTGTTAGCTGCCATGTGGGTGCTAGGAACTGAATCTGGGTCCTCTGCAAGAGCAGCCAGTGCTCTTAACCATTGAGACATCTCTCCAGACCCTAGCCTGGGGAAATTTCTAGAACTTACATTGGTGTTGACTTTGTAGGCATCCCTGGCTGCTTTGATATGAACGGCATCTGGCTTAATGGTGCAGTTAGATTTATTTCTTTGGTAAACTTCTTTATACTTTAGCTGTGGGAAGAAATAGACACAGTTAATTTTTTCTAGGGGTCTATTAAACATTTTCAAAAACCAAGAAATTAAAACGGTGAGAATGGTACACAATGTTCCCTACAATAGAGTATTTGAAAAAGTCTGTTGTAAAGACGCAGCGATGCAGAGACACATATTCTCCCAGAACACAGAGAGTGTGGTCCACAGTGTGGCCCCCGGTGCACACCTGTAAGCTTGTGCCGGAAGGGTCAGCTGACAGCTCTCCATGTGTGCTTTACCTTACCGCATCAGGAAAGCTTTGGTGCAGGCATCCTGAAAACTGCCCTCCAGGACAGACTTTTAGTCCCAGTCTCCTTCTGTGTTCCCACAGTCCTTCTTGTCATGAAGTCACAGATACTTATTTGTTTACCTTTGTCTAGTCCTCTGTTAAGCCAAACCCCTTCAGGGCAAAGGTTTTGTGTCAGCCATCACCTTATTCCCAGTGACTGGCACATAAAAATTCAAGGAATGAATGAACTGAAGGATGCAGTCATCACTACTGTCAGTCTAGAGCTGTACCTAGCATGTTTTGGTAACCGTGGGTTTGGATGGGGGTGAGGATCGTGGCCACTACAGGCCTAATAAGTAGCCTCCCCATCTTGTGCTGGGGATTTTAGGTTCATATACTTCTGCTTTTCCCAAATTTCATGGTTCTGGGGCCTGATCTGGGTTCTCTCACTAATTGTTGGGGAACAGTCCTAGGTACAATGTGATTAAGGTAGAGTGAACATCTGTAAGACAAGGAAACACACTAAGGCTTATTATACTTATCACAAGAACCTTTGTATTCCCTGCTCATCTATAGACCTAGCTTACTACTTCACTAATCTGTATCTTCAGGGAGAAGACCTGGAAATGAATATTTGCCATCAGTACCCTAGGATATGCTAACAATCAGAAGGTTTCACCTTCCTGCTGTCTTAAGGAATGGGCTGTTCCCTATAAGGGATCTACCTGACAGATACTTACAAATATCTGAGGTTTATATTTGTATAAGCACTAAAATTTATTTTGATATATCACATATTTCTAAAATGCTTTCTTTATTTCCACCTTCTCAAACAATGTACTGAATGTATTTTGCTTCCATAGTGACTCAAGGTCAGCAGTGTGACATATTTATCCATCTATTTATTCATTTATTCGAGGCTTTGGGATAGGGATGAGGCATGCCACAGTTGCCTCTACTACTCTGTCTCATGCCCAGAAGCTCATTTAGTCATGGAGTTCGTTTAAACATTGAATCTGTGGGCATGATGGCTCATGCCATTTGAGAGGCTGAGGCAGAAAGATCACTGTGAGTGCAAGGGCAGCATGGGATATGGCTACATAGTGAGTTCCGGGTGAGCTTAAGCTACGGAGTATGACCCTATCTTACAAAATATTGAACATTAAAAAACTTAAAAATATGAATATTTTCAACCAATATAATGATGGTTTCAACCACAAAATCAAGCCAAATATCTATTTATGTTTTCCTGAAATATGATCTTGCAATGTAGCCCAGCCTGACCTTAAACTTGCCAGTCTCCTACCTAGCCTCACAATTGATGAGATTATAGGTATGCACTCTCACACCAACCTAAAGCCAAATGTTTGAAAAATTAGCAATACAGTTTTGTCTCAAATTCAGAGTATTAGAACACAGCAACAAGCTTGTTCCCCTTAGTGAAGACAAAGCTTGTAGGGTATTTTTGGCATTTATGTCATGCTACATTTTCTAGAATGACCTCAGTGACATTTCTTCCACATGCTGTCCTGCAATATGGCTTTGCTGTTTGCTCATGCAGAGCGTGTGAGCTCTCTTTATCTCTTATCATACTTTGAATCTAAGGCTCATGTGTTAAAGGCTTGCTCACTAGCCTAGGATGCTGTTGGGAGGTAGTGGAACCTTCAAGAGGTAGAGCCTAGTGAGAGGTCTTCTGGTCACTGTGATGTGTCCTCAAGGAGGATAGTGAGGGCCCAAACACCTGCCATTAGTCCCAGCACTCAGGAGGCTGAGGCATGAGAATCTCTGTGAGTTGGAGGCCAGCCTGATCTATATAGCAAGATTCAAGCCAGCCAGGGCTACATAATGAGACCCTGTCTCAAGAAACAAAAATAAATAAATAAATAAATAAATAAATAAATAAATAAATAAAAATAGATGATTGCCATGAAGTTTTCAAGTGGTCATTCCACAGAAATAGATTACTGACTTATCACATAACATTTAGGGCCCAAGATAAGGGGGGCTGAGAAGTCCTCCGGTACTCACATCACTAACTTCATCTTTCACCTTTCGGACATGAAGCAGCATGGGTGTATCGTGGATTGTGGTGTAGCCTCTGGGTTTGGCCTTGTTGTATTCCAGTTTATAAAGTATCTGAAGGAGATTCAAAAGCAGAGAGGCATAATGTTGTGTTTCCCAATTTACAGCATAAAAATATAAATGCAAAATGATTAGGAAGATAGTTCTATAAATTCAATAGGTGTTTTTGTGTCACGAGTCTTCCTTGTAAAAGAAAAGTCCCATGTGCAGTAGGCATGCTGCATCCGTGCCTCCCTCCCACTAACTGGCAGTTGTCTCTCAGACATAGCACAATTTAGAATGGCAACCACATTTGCAAATACCTCTGACATCAGACAATGCAGGCAGGCACTTCTACTTACATCACTGATTTGCTTGTTGACTTTTGTAGTGCGCAGGTGTTCTGGAGTATCCACAACTGAGGTGAATTTGTCCTTTGATTTTTCATATTTTTTCCTGTACTTGATCTAAATTGTGGAAGGGAAGACAATTTACTTTCAGGGCGTGGGATAGAGAAAAAGGCATCTCATGAAACAAATGGGAGCTAGTGTCACAGTAGCCTCAGCTTTAAGTTCTCACTGGAAATGTTCCATGTACATTTGCATTTGAGAGCAGTGGTGTAGTACAGAAAACGGATAATATTTTCCACTATGTTTCACACACATAAAAACAAACTATAAGGCTCTTAGATGTTAGGAGACTGAGCCACAGGTACATGAAGAGTAAATCTCAGAGCAGGGCTAGAACCTTCTCTGTACTCTGAGAAGTAATTTCATCTGAACATTCTACATTATATCTGCATTACATAGGTATTTTTCCATGCCAAAGATAAATAGATGTTGGTAAAAAAAATAAGTATATATGACTTTTAAAGTATTATCATTTTAAAAAATGCAATTGTTTTTGTAATTTTCAAGTCACTTTTTTTTCATGCACATAAGCTGTTTTAAGCAGGACAGATTCAGAGAACACAACAAAATCTCATGCACAACATTTTGATGACCCTATCAAGGCCAAGGAGAAAGCTTAGGAAACAGCATGTTTAGGAAGAGAATGCATCCTCTTCCTTTTATATGTTGATGTGCGAGCAAACTAAGACAATGAAATAAACTAATAGAAAAGATTGGCTAAAGCCTTTCTTTTTGGGGTCTGGGAGAGCGACATGTCATTACTGTTCTCTCCGGTAATTAACAGCTACCACATTTCCTTTCAGCCTGTAATGGAAAGGTGGTCGTGTGCACTTCAGTGGATCTTGTAGGAAGGCAATATTATCAATATGAATATGTACAAAGTCCAAGAGCTGCATGTTAGCCCCCCAAATAGTACAGTTGCAGTGATAGTTGAGCAATATGATAATAAGATGAAAACATTAAATATTCAAAGCTTTAAATGCTGCCAATGTACCAAATATCCTTAAGTATAAATTAATGCTCTGTCAATTTGGAAAAAGGGTTTGAACAAGCCTTAACTAATCTTATGAGGATTTCTGAAAGTATTAGATGTACAAATAATAGCTGTCCAAGTATCACACTGGGTCACGATCAGATTTCATTTATACAGAATGAATATTTACACAGCTTTATCACGAGAGAGCAGCAAGGGCAGGGACAGCAGAGGGGCCAATGAAGCATAAAAGGAATGCACCAAAGCTCTGAACCTGCTTCTTCACACCATGTCGGACATTACCTGGCTCCACATGTGTGTATTGTAGAGAGCCATCAACATATCTGGACGCAGAATTTCATTACATCCTTGTTTCAGAAGCATCTTGGCACTAGATTTATACTTTCTCTGTCCATGCAAAGAGCAGTGAAGCACAAAAGAGACTTAAAAAGACAGAAAGGACCATGGCTCTATATCCCAGTCACCTCTGAGTGAAGAGATGTAGGCTTAACACACTTTGTGTACTCACAGAGCTGTGTGCGTGAAGATCCCACACACATGATAATAATGCACAGCGAGTGGATGCAGTATTTACGCTTGACCACCCATAGTCCCTGTGAATGGAAGTGATGCAGGTCATGTATGCTATCAGCCAGATTGCTTTAGGAGAAGGCATCACCAGAACAATCTCATAGGGAGTTCTGTCTTTTTCTCCCATAACTTTAAAGAGTTTGTTTTTACAACTAAATTTGCAGTTTACAGTTGCTATTTACAAGCAGGTTCTACAGAAGAATCAAGATGGGGGGAAGGCCCCAGCTTTTCCTTTCATCTTCACCACAGCGCAAGTGAGGACACAGAGCATGGACTGGCACACTCAAATAGCTCACGGGCTCTTTGGGTGGCTAGACAGATACTTTGAGACAGAACAGCCCAATATCATAGGCAGAACCTATGACATCCTTGCAGCAGACGGGACGACACCTCATGAGAAACCGGAGTGCAGTTCTGCCTGGGCCTCGCGGCCAGCCTCATCACAGTACCTGGCTGATCTGGTCGCCTGCGGTCTTAGCCAGCAGATGTCTAGGCTCATCGACTACCAGCTGGTATTTATCTTTCCGCTGCTCATAATCAGCTCTGTATTTTTTCTGCTCAAACATTATGTTAAATTATAGCAAGAGTACGACTTCAAGGCTACACAGAAACGTCCTAATATAAACCCTCCAGAGAACCAGAAACCTGTCATTTCTAGAACTGAATTCCCCAAGTCCCCAAGGAAATTAAAACAGGAGGAGAGACAGCTGAAGAAAGATTGTGTAGAGAGAAGTCGGGAGAGACCGAGTTCTGAAACTGAAATTAGCACACTTTACGCCTGAACATTTTCCATCTTTTCATAGGACATCATTAGCAAGGTCAGGTTTTATGGCATCTTACATCGTATTTAAAATATGGTGCCAATAAGCTCCGAGTTTAACATATAAGGCTGTAAGATTCCAAACACAGAACTAAAGCTAAAATACTCAAGGAGAGTTGTTGTCATGTCTAATACTAATTTATTTGATTATTTTAAAAAGACATGGGAATTCTTTATAAAATAGGGAAAAAACAAAATATATCAAGACTGTGCTAGAAAGCTACTGATGATAATTTTTCAGAGTTGTCTGGCCTGGAAATGTATTGAAATAAAAGAATTAGACAAAAATAATTAAATCAACAAAAGTCATACATTTAAAATGTTACTGGTTATGTTTTCATTATTAGCTCTGTTTTACTAATTTTATAATATGTATGTACTTATATAAATCCATGAAAAACCTGAAAACAGAAAAGTATAACTTTAGTTATAAAACCATCTAAACATTATAAATCTACCCAAATATAACTAAGCTCATGGTTTGCTTATTTCTTAAGTTACATTCAAATTGCATTATTGCAAAGATGTTTATAGGAAAGACAGAGTAGGGTATAAAGAGGAATTTGGGGTGTAAATAGTTACTCTAGACATTAGACTATGTGAGGTAACAATGATATGGCTGAATGATGACTCATGACTGTCCCCATAGGGTGGCTCTTCTAATTTTGGAGATTGTGAGAATACTAAACCAACCTTGAATGCTGTCTCCCAACTCTCCACAGTATTATGTTTTAGGGGTTTTAGCTGATAGTCCACAAAATCCTTCGCCCCTTTGCTCTGACGCCATAGGGCTGTGCTCCCTGTTAGTTAAAACAGAGCTGCAGATGGCTGTGGAGAGGTGGAGCTCCATTCAGAAAGATCTCTTTGCTTCCTATTCAAGGTTTTGGCAGAGCCCATTAGATGGTGACATTATATAGTCTTTCCAAATCTTTCTATGGAATGAGCATTTAAGATGAATTTCCTATTGTTCTATATATTAGATTTAATCAAATAGCTGTACACATTTAAGAGAAATGAATAGGTTTAGGAGATTAGTTCATACATACCTCATTCATCAACTGAGTTGCATACTTGAAATGCCTGTTGATTGGACAGTCAGCAACATACTTGAAATCTGACTTTGTTCTTTCAAATACTTCTTTATACTTATACTGGAGAAAAAGAACATTATTGTTTGATAGCACATCCAGTCTTAAATCTGATATATTCCATTATTATATAATTGTAATAATTAAGTCTTAGAGGTAACAAGTATTTACTGAGTTTTTTCTTATCTCCAGAGACAGTGAAAGGTAGAAGAGCTAATATCTGGAAAAGTAGCCCAAAATGAATAGTACAAACCATTCCATCGAATAGATATCAAATGCCTGTTCCACGCTAGGCAAAATTCCACTTAATTTCTTCTCTGTTTCTATATGTTATGATCATTTTATTTTAAGGTATTTTTACATGCACTAGAAAGCAGTTTTAAGTCCATTAATTTGAGTATAGTGTTCCAGTAACTACACAGATAATTACAATCTTATAGAGTAGGTTGGGTTATGACCTAGTTAGCCTGCAACCTGTTTTTAAACATCTTAACAAACTAAGAATCATTTTTTAAAATAATTTTAAAGAACTGCAAGAAGGCAGGGGTTATAATAAATGTGGACCACAAAATCTACTCTAAAATATCCACTGTCAGGCACTTACCAGAAGGAGTAGGCTGATTCCTATTTTAGAGTTAAAATGAAGCAAATTTAACAGCTTTATTTAGAAAATAGGAAAATGGGGCCCTAAAAAACTTGATTCACCTCAGGTTCCCAATGTTTGTAGATTAAAATAATCACACATTGTATTTGCTGCCTTATTCATGCTCTCATTGGGTGAATCATCCATAAACATATTAATAGAAAGGGGATTTGGAAGAGTCATGAGGAGTTATACCGAGATGATTGTTTCATCAAATTCAAATAAACTACAGTTAATGAGGTCAGCACTTGAGAACTCTCTAAGGAGAGCGAATGCGTTCCTGGTACAGTATCTAGAAGTGGAGACAGGGACAAAGCTTTGAAAAGCTGTTTCCCCAGCTGATTTCGGTGAGTTCATCTTTATACTGAAGGGATGAAGTCATTCTCCTTGAGTCTCTACCTTGCTATAGAGAGTCTTGTTCTGTTCCGCCAGCGTGAAGTCAGGGGTATCATAGGCATAGCAGCCAATGCCTTTAAGCCAGGTCAGATCTTCTTTATATTTCACCTGGGAGAAGAGAAGTATCAAAGAGTTTTGAAATTGCATATCAAATAGTTATAGGTTAGGAGCCATACAATGAACAAATGGAATTCTGATTCCCAAAGTATTTGAATTCATAAAGCATTGAAATAGTCTTTATTGTTTAAAATAAATTCCTAGTATTATTGATTTATACTTATGATTTATTGTTCTGTGATATATATACTTTTCATTTTTTATCACTAATCAAAACAATTCCACCTTTATAGTATACTTTCCTACAGTATACTCTAGTATACAGTAGAGTAGAGTATAGTATAGTATGGTATAGTATACTTTCCTATAGTATACTTTTCCTTTCTGTTTAGCTTAGCAGCTATATTTCCATGCAGACAAGTGAAACCTCTTTCTAAATGAGCAGTGCTTTGTGTCAGAACTGCCCCTCTTCAAAGGCGATTTTCTAGATGAAGCATAATGCTTCCAGTCATAGAAGAAAACTTAGGTTTACAAACTTGAACATAATTTTCTTTCTCACTTAGCAATTGAATTTGATGATTTCAATAACCATGCACAGGATCTAAAATTTAGAGAAGTAGAGCTAGCAATCTTGGGAAGGAACCCAAGGAGAGATGGCCCAGCAGATAAAGGTGCTTGCTGCCAAGTTTGACAACCTGAGTTTAATATCCAGAATCCACATGTAGAAGGAGAGAACTAATTCTACCAAGTTATCCTTTGACCTCAGCATATGCTCCATGACACATGTTCCTTGGTACATGACCTGGGGAGGAGGTCATATATGGGGGGAGCATACAAAATAAAACAAATAAATGTAATTAAAATCTAGGCAATTGTTTCACCAGTTTTTATGCCTACAGGAGAATGTGGATTTAATGTGAAAGCAGATATCAACACTCACATCGCTGACAGCGTCTGTGACTGCCCGGTGGTGGAAATGCTCGGGGCGGTCAGGAATGGACCTCCAGATTCCCAGCTGGCTCATGTAGTTCTCCTTGTATTTCACCTGTTGTAAAGGCAAAAAGGCAGCTATAACATTGATCCAAAGTTAATATAAAAATGTCTATGTCTCCCTGGAGTTTTAGAAAAGGGAGTGCTTTTATAAAGGAACCCAAGGAAAGTAGGCATATCTGGGGACGTACTTTACTGATGTTGTCTGTGACTGTGCGATGATATACAATGTCCAGGGCATCCTTCACAGTGTGGTATCTCCCTTTGGTCTTTTGAAATGTTTCTTTGTAGCGTAGCTGTTAAGAAAAAAACCCATTGATTATGAAAATAATCAAGTTAAGTAATTCAGCTCTTTTAAGCTTAATCTCTTTTGAGTCTTCTCTCTTACAGTTTCCCCATGAATTTAGGAGAAAAAAAAATTAAAAAGCCACTTGAGATTTTGGAAGAGAAAAAGACATTAAGGAAAACTTAATGAAATCCAAAAAAATTTGGGGTTGATACAATAATAACGATTGATCTTAGTTCATTGGTTGCAGCAAATGTTAGATGGTATGTGAGTTTGTCAGTGATGGGGAATGGTGTGGAACAGATACAAATTCTCGGTATGTCTTTACTATTTTTTGTAAATCTAAGACTACTAAAATAAAGTTATGCAAATGTTAAATGAAGAATTCTAAAGCTCATTTTGGAGAAAAGAAACAACATAAAACATAATCTTGTCGAGTTCAAGATATACGAATGTGTGGCTGGGAAGAGAGGGTCAGCTCCTTCTTCCTGTTGTCAAACCGGCTTCTCCACTGAATAACCTGGAACTTTCAGTTTATTGTGATCTTTATCTTTGTGACATTGCAGGAGAAAACAGTTCTGACTTCAACCTAAGAATACTGTAGAAAATTCATGTCATCTACTCAAGGTAGATGCTCCTTTAAGCAGTCTGTTTTCAACCTTGAACAGTTCTTTTTCCTGAGGGGTGTGGGGTGTGACTGAGCAAACACATAGTAAAAGATGCCTTTTCTCAAAAACTTTGTTCTTTACATGGAAGGCATAGCCATGATTGATACATTGAATTTAATACCAGATTTTAAAGATTAAGGTTATAAGAATTGATACTGAGGACTATTTTAAAGATTAAGTCTATTAGAATGGGCACCTAAGAAACCCTGGTGGTATAGATGTATATATGTGGGGAAGCACAATCAGATCAATTATAGTGTGCCCATCCTGTGCAAAGAAAATTAAGTTTGGTACAAATTAATATTTAACAGTGTTGGTTGGAATGGTTCACACCTGTAATCCCAGTACTTGGAGGCTAAGGCAGGAAGATGGTCATGAGTTTGAGGCCAGCCTGGGCTATACAGTGAATGTCAGGCCTGCCTCAGGTACAGAGTGAGACTCTGTCTTAACAAAACAAAACAGGAAAAAGTCAGCAGTAACCTTGAGTGACAAAGATAATGAATGACAACAGAAGACTAAAGCTGTCCTGAGGAGAATCTATGGTTTTTTCAGCTTTTGTTTTAAGGACTAACTAGCATTGTTTCTTTCCAACTGATAGGCTCCCCTCAGTTCCAAATGAAAACTGATATAGGTTCCTGCTATTACCTTATACAGTCATGAAATCTAGAGCTATATTGTAGATATGTGGGGCTCACTGGAACATTTGTCTGGGATTAAGTCCCAAGATGTCTAATCTATTAGGGTTTGTAGCAATGGATACAGAAAGTCTACAGTTGAGTTCTAAGGCACAAAATTAATACAAGTTGGCCACCCATCCTAGGTGAATTAATAATTCCAAAACTTCAAGAATAGAGAAACATTACCATTAAAAGGCAGGTTTGTCCTTTATTAGATAATGTGGACAACGAAAGTGTGTCCTTTAATTCTAACATGTTCATGTGTTACTCACATGATCTGTATTTAGGCAGTTATGAGAAGGGGGGCATTTTCCAAGTGTTAACTAAAAGCCCAGAAGTGTGTTAGGCACATTATATACATTTTGTTGTACAGTCTTTTTTAATTACTAACTGTCTCATCCTCATTTCACGTATAAAAACTTACAGGTAGATGCTCCTTTAAGCAGTCTGTTTTCAACCTTGAGCAGTTCTTTGTTGGGGTGGGGAGTAACTGAGAAAACACCATACAAGTTGCCTTTTCTCAAAAACTTTGTTATATAGAATTTCAGAGCAAGCACCGGATAGTCTGATTTGAATCTACATTTGACTGAATTCAAGACCATGATTTTATGTCTAAGTACATTAGTCATCCAGTATCTCTAGGAAATGCTACCAAAGGGTTGCAAGAAAGGGTCATATTGTTGCCCAGGAGATAACTAAGAATCAATTTCAGCGCCTCAACACAATTCTTAGCTAATTTGCTTGACTGTTTAAATGTTTGTGTTTCTTTTTGATCCATGTTTGGGGTGCCTTTAACTATGGCTGTGACGGAACAGTTTATGTTTCTTAGATAGTTCAACCTCAGCTCTCCCTGTCACAGAAGGAGAAGGAAGGAGGGGATGCATACATCACTGGCATTCCAGTAAGCCCTTTTGGCTCTGATGAGGATCGGCGTATCTGGGACTGGAGTGTACTTGTCCTTCATCTTCTCATATTGAATCTTGTACTTTTTCTAAGATATAAAAATAGAAGCGAGACAAACTTAAGTTCAAGTGGTTTAGAACTTTTTAATTTATTGTTATTCTTGTGATGGGATATCTGTGTTTGTGTGCCATGATATTCATGTGGAGGTCAGAGGACAACTTTGTGGAGTTGGTTCTCTCCTTCCACTTTTATGCACATTCTGAGGTGTGAACTCAGGTCATCAGGTTTTCATGGCACATGCTTTACCCATTGAGCCATCTCATTGTCCCAGGTTCAAGTGTTTTTACCCTTCCCAATTCACACCCAACTCACAGGTCTAGTGGAGAGACACAGTGCATCACACTCTTAGAGAATAGCTTTGCTTTCTGTGTTTCAGCAATGTCAAGTACAATTGTAGTAATAAACTCTCATCAGAAATAGCAGGTGCATGTTTTAAAATATTTTCTTTTCTCTAACCTGGTGCCTCAGCATAGAAGCTCTGTCTTACCTCACTGACCATGTCCTTCACATCTTTAGCGTGTTGCAAGGCTGTGGTCTGGTTTCCGGCATGGTGATGGGGTCTCTCTTTAGTGGCAAGTTCAACATACAGGTACTGGATAATAAGAGAACAGGGTGAGATGTGATAAAGATGAAGCATTCATCTTTACAGCCAGTCTTCCTCATTTCGAGCCCTTAAATTTGGGGGGGGTGTTTATTTGGTTGCTTGATTTTCTGTATATGTGTTTGTTAATTTGTTTCTTTGTGCCTGACATTTGAAAACACATCTATGAACCAGTTATTTAATGATCCTACTGTTAACAGTGGTTCAACGTAGTCACATGAAAAAAAAAAGCCAACAGAAGGGTGTGAAGGTTCTGATAGATTCCGCAACATACTTTCCCCTTAATTTTGCCTGCATGTGTGAAATGTAGTTTCATTTGTCTGTGGATAGTAGACAGTTCCTTGGAATGACCAAGTAATACTTTTCACTAGAACACAGACCACTCATCCAATGACAAAATTAGAAAGCTCTTAGAAAAGAAGACATGGCATCCTTTGCCTATAAAAACATAACATAACTATAATTATGATGGTCCCAAAGAAAACTGTTTCTTGAAGTGCAATGTTAGCAGACAGAGGCTGTAACAAGGACAACTGGTTGTGTCTGATACTGGCCTAGGCGGGTCAGTTAGACATTACCACCCATTGACAGGATAATGAATTTTCATTAACAACTGACATTACCTGACTCTGAAGCTTCTGACCCCGCTTGGCTCTCAGAAGGTCAGGAGTGTCAGGAACTGAAGTGAAGATGGACTTCTGCTTCTTGCCTGAAGCTCTGTACACCAGCTAGACACAAAACATGTCATCGTCATCACTTCTCTTTGCTGGCATGGAAGTGCTTTGCAAAAGCCTATGTTGCTTACTCATAAAGAAGGCAGGCCAGCAGAAGGGTGTGAGACCACCCAACAGTCTCAGTTTCTTCCTACTTTACTGACAGTTTGTCCTTATTTACCTTCTGAAACTTCCTTCCCTCCCTTCCCTTGCTTCACGTTAGCAGACATTATTGAGCCTGTCCAATAATTCAAGTTACGTACTGTATTCTTGGTCCCATTCTCAAGAAAGAAAATATTGAAATAGGTTCAGTTTGCAGACAACAATTGTGTAAGACAGAAAGACTTTCTGAGCTACAAAATCATTTAAAACCTGTCATTTGCCTTGTCATAGGAAAGGCAAGAATTAATATCCTCATCTTTGCAAAAAAGGGACAAAATAAATAAACTGTAAGATCAATTGATTTGCATAGACATTGGCCACTATGCAGTGAAAAGCAGAAGGGAAATCATTTATTTTCCACCACTGAAAATTGATCATAAGAGAGAAATTAAGAACCTTGTGAGAAACTCAGTCCATCGGGTCCATCTGGCCACTGTACAGTGATAGGTGAAGCATTCTTACCTCACTCAGATGGGTCTTCAGTTCTTGAACCTTTCTGTATTCTGGGGTGTCAAGTACCACTTTGTATTTGTCTCGCATCTTCCTTGCATTATCAGTGTACAGGTAATTAGACTTAAAAAGGAAAACCAGAAACACAACTTAATTAGTCATTTCCGGGACTGCATGTTGTGTTGCCTTTCAAACGGCTGATGTACAAACTGAGCAAGCCCAGAATGTAACTAAGAGTCTCAATTATATCTTCCCTATATTTTTTCCCCTCTTGGTCTTCTTAGGCAAGAACAAAATCCCCCCATCATTTAACTAAGTTCATCACTTTTTATAGAAGGTGTAGATCATGTTGGGTAAAGTACAACCTACTCAAGTGGATTGATGGCAAGTTTCTCCTTTAAAGTATTTGTAGGCTAAGATTCTTTCTGCTCCCTCCTTCCCACAGCAGAAGCCAGTGGTGAGGAGCATGATAAAGGTGTGGGCAAATTGTGTACTGTCCTTACCCAGAGCTTCCTCAGATGCCGGGAGCGGACCATGTCAGGAGTGTCATATAAGAAGCACCCAAGTCCCTTCAAGATCTGCAAGTCCTCTTTGTACTTAATCTATGGGCCAAACACAGAAAGACAGCTGGTCTTGAGCAAATGTAAATCCATGATAGAAATCACAGGGTAGCTGCACATCTCTATTGATGTGTAGTAGTTCCCATTCAGTCACAATTTTGTTTTCTGTGGTTTCAGTTATCCACTTTAACTGTAATGAGAAAATACTGAATGGGAAATTCCAGAAATAATTCAGAAGTTGTAAATAACCTTTTTCATAATGTACTGCTATAATTAGGTATTGTATTGTTAGTTGTTATATTTACTCTCTTATGGTGCTTAATTTACAAATTAAACTTTATCCAGAGTGTGTATAAATAAAACAGAATATGTACAAGGTTTGGTACCATCCATGGTTCAAGGCATCCACTGGGGGTCTTGGAAGGTATCCCCGGCAGATAAGGGGGGTACTGTAGTGTTTTCAGTTTGGTTCTAAATGTACATCTTATACACTTAGTTTGCCTGCACTCAAATCTAACCTGAGTCGAGGAGAGAACATCAATATTGTATTATGGTGTCAATAGGAAAAAAGCACAGATTGAACGAATTGATCTTTCAGGAAAAGGAAACATCCAAGGAGATATTTATTAGTGGCAGCAGGAAGCTGCTAAGAGAGAGCAGGAATATCACCTGGGACATGGGGTACCAGAATGTTAGGAGTTAGCAAGGCTTTTGTGTTCAGGCAGAATGGTGGCCAGCCCAGTTCCTCCACTGGTCCTCTCATTACTGTTCCTATTGCTGGAGAATTGTGGGCCTTCCCACATAATTTCTACCTCCAAGTTGTACATCTAGTTAAGAAATATTCAGTGGAAAAGACTGTTCAAAGTCCACTAGGAGTCTTAAATGCTGAAAGTAAGCCTGTTTCTCCTTAAAAAATTTTTTTTAAATTTATTTTATGTGTAGCCTGTGGAGGCCAAGAGGGTGTTGGATCTCCTGGAACTGGAGTTACAGATAATTGTTAGCCATGTGAAGGCTGGGAACTGAATCCAGGTCCTCTGTAAGGACAGCCAGTACTCTTTACTGTTGTATCATCTCTCCAGCCAATAAGCCTTCTTCTTGATAGAACGCCTTTAGAAAGTATCTACAAGATGCTTACATCACTGGTGATGTCTCCCACGTAGCGACAATGCAACACCTGGGGTGTGTATGGCAGGGAGATCATGTGGCCCTGCATCTTGAAGAAGTCTGATTTGTAGATCAACTAAAGAAAAGACAAACAAACAAAAACAGAAACACACACATTAGAGTGCAAAGGCTGACATCTGCCTGCGTTCTGTGGCCTGTCCGTTCTCCTAGCACTCACTTCACTGACAGCTTCTTGTGTCTTCTTGACTTGGCGAATTTCAGGTGTGTCGGGAGTTGTATGGATCTTGTCTTTCAGTTTATGGTACAGTTCTCGATACAATCTCTGCAGTGAAGAAACCATCCCAAGTATTTAGGGCAGGATCATGAGGGCTACCACTGACTAACAGTCAAAATACTTTACATAAAGAACCAGGAGAGGAAATATTGGGACTACAGAAGTGATAAAGATTAGAACATGAAATAAGGTTGATTTAGGTGAAGAATTCTGAGTATAGAGTATTCACGAGATGATTGCACAGAAGTATTAAATAAGATAATGAAAATCATGGTTGGAAGTCAGATAAAAACATAGCCTAATTAAGATTTTTTTAACACAAATGTCAAAAGGAGGAATTATTTCCCTAGAAAAATTTTGTGTGATAGTTTATGGAATCAAATCTCTATGATGCTATTAACCAATAGAGAAAAACACTGCCAAGGGACATCAGTATCAAAATAGTGACAATAGGGCCCTCATACTCTTTGCTGATCTGTAAGCTTACAGATGAAATATGAGAACTTCTTCTTAATGCATTTCATATACAGCCATGGTTTTGAAATTCAGTATTTTCCCCAGAGAATGAGTGCTCATTTTACCTCACTAGTAACTTTGTTGGCTCTCCGGACATGGACAAATGGGACGTCCTTGGGTCCAAGTGTATACCCGTTGGCCTTGATGTGTTCATAGACTTCTTTGTACTTGAACTGAAAAAGCAAAGTCAGACTGAGATCAGTGATGGTTCCACAAAGAAAAGTACAGCATTTCTCAAGATGTCACCTTGATTTGAAAATTATTCTCTAAATATGAGCATAAGAAACAGCCATTGCCATAAATTTAATTTTATTTATTATTATTCTATGTCTGTGCATGATGTGTGCATATGAATGTAGGCACACATGTGCCATGACATACATGCGAAGGTCAAAGAGCAGCTTTGGGAGTTGGTTCCCTTCTTCTACCTTGGGTTCTGGGAATCAAACTCAGGTTTTCATAGAAAATGCTTTTACCCACTGAGCCATCTTTCTGCCCCAAGTGGCATAACTTTAATATTGTTTTAGGCCTTGAAAATTATTTGTTGAATGATAAAGCCAAATCTAGAAAGGAATAAAATTACATCTTGTTGGGGGAGGGGGAAATCTGTAGGCAGCTAGGCAAAAACTCAAGAAAAACTTATCTATTTAGTCTATAGGCCAGAGTCACTAGGATGACCAAAACTTCTCTAGGACTTGCTCAGGGAGTACATGTATATAGTCCTACCCAAGCACTTATATAAAGCAAGGAAGCATAGTACCAGAGGCAACCCCTGGACAAGCTATAAGCAGTAGGAACCTTGGTAGGAAGTCTTCTTTTTTATTAAAAAATTATTTTATTTATTATTTTTATTTTATGTGTATGAGTGTTATGCCTGCATGTAGGTGGTTACACCCGTCCCGTGTTGTACAATGCCAGCAGAGGTCAGAAGAGGGCATCGGAAGCCCTGGAACTGGAGTTACAGACAGTTAGCTGTCATGTGGGTGCTAGGACTCAAACTTGGGTACTCGCCAAGAATAGCCAGTACTCTTAATTGCTGAGCCATTTCTCCAGCCCTAGAAGTCTTCTTTTCAAAGGGACAGTGATGTTTTCTCTTCTGCGTGCATCTGCAGTGCACTGTGTAAATGAACTCATATTTCCAGCTTGAGGGGAGATCAGGATGCTCTGGTCTAAGGCCAGCAGAAACAGCATTGAACCCTGAGCCAAGACATCCATGAAGTCCTGTCCTAACTTGCTGCGCTAGATGGGCACTGCCAAACTGCAGAGGCAGCCAAGGCATTGCATCCCCAGAATATATGCTCTTTGCCCTTGCCCCCTCCATCATTATGTTGCACCTTTGGGATGTGATATGAGCGTAAGAATAGACTGTTAACTAATTTAGTTCCCTCCCACTCAAAATTTCAGACCCTGCCAGCATAAGGTGGTTCTACTCACATAGCTGCTCATGTATCGGGTGCCCTTGATGTGCTTGAAGTGAGGGGTATCAACAGGAAGTCTGTACCCAGTGGGCAGGAAACGCAGGCCTTTCTTGTACAGATTCTACCAGAATGAAATAGCAAGTAAAAGGGTGTACAGCATCAAATCAAACAAATCACATGCAGCGTGTTAGATTTTTTTTTTTGGGGGGGGGGTCAGATAGTTAATCTATTTATTCTTTCTGAACTGATTTCAAGAACTTCAGCTCTTAGGGTCATGAATACAGTGAGATTACTCTTAATCTGTCCTACTGGGAATATTATGGTTAGTGTTGACTGTCAACTTGACTGGAACTACAGTCACCCAGGAGACAATAGGCACACCAGTGAGAGATTACTTAGGTTAGGTTAGCCTCTGGGCGTATCAGGGAAGGAGTATCTTGACTGAGTTAACTGGAGTGGGAAGACCCACCCTAAAGGAGAGAAGCACCATTCCCTGGGCTTGTGTCCTGGACATGGAGGAAGCTGGCCAAGCACAAGCATTCTTCTTCCTCTGTTTCCTGACTGTGGACACAATGTGACCGGCTACCCCAAGATCCTGCCACCATGACTTCCCTGCCATGGTGAACTATGCCCCTGAACTATGAGCCAGAATAAGCCTGTCTCCCTTAAGTTGCTTTTGTCATGGTATTTTATCACAGCAACAGGAAAAGGAACTCCAATAGACAAACCTGATGGAATGCAAGGGCTTATAGAAGGAATTCCTCTCTGCTTCCAAACATGTACCTAGTTGACTTCATGGTATCTAGCAAGACTGGGGCACACAGAGAAGACAGGCACCAAGTGCCACCTCTGTGATTACCCCACCCTCAGGGGACAGTCAAACTCTCACTGGTCTTTGAGATAGCATAAGCATCAGGCACAGCCAATAATTTCCCTCCCTACCTCCTGCATCCCCATAAAAATAGAGTATTAGCCTCAGGTAATGAGTTCAAGATTCAGTTATTCATACAGAAGGGGTGGAGAGAAAAGACTGCAGTCTTAAATACTCTGGCTTTCAGGGGATCTATAGGCTTAAGAATAGTGCTTAAAAAAAAAAAATCGAGGACCCGCAGGCCTCTCTCAGGGGTAGGTCAATGGCGCCCTCTAGGCCTTGACTTCCCCAGCCTCAGTCACCCTCCTATCTCCCCAGCCCATCTCTCCTCCTAACCTGGGTCCTGTCCCATTCCTTGTCTTGGCACCAAGACACCTGGGGAACCACCACTGCTTCTTGATTGTTTGCATCCAGACCAACCCAGTTCCTTCTCAGGGTCCCCAGGAGTACTCTGGCCCTGACCCCTCCCTCACCTCCCTCTACTTCCCTGGGCCAGCACAACCCACCAGCCTCTTTCCTGGATGCCAGGGCTGACTTTTCCTCTTCCTGATCCTTTGCATCCAGACCAACCCAGCTCCTCAATGCAGTCCCCAGGAGCCCTTGGGGCTGCTTCCCGCCCCCATTTTCCTTTGCATCTCTGGGTGGCAGAGCCACCAGCTGCCTGGCTCCCAGGCAAGTCCAACCCCCAAATTCCTGAGGCCAAAATCTTTTCTGGAGGGATCCAGACCATAGAAGAAAGCCTGAGAGCATCTGATCCTCATCTGACTTGGGCCTCTGTGGAAACTCCTGAAGACAAAAGCAATCTGGCCACTCCAATATAAAATCAAAAGAGAGAACTGGAAGCTTAGAGGAACCAGCTTTTCATGCCCCAAAAGTAAACCACAAAGACACATAAAGTTTACAAAAAGAAGCAGACCTAAACTTGAAGGCTTGAGTCTCACACAAGAATCAGAAACTACAAAAGAAATTCACATGTCAAAAATCACAGAGAAAAAATAATAACATGAAAAACCAAAATAACATATCCCCACAAATACCAATAGTCCTCTAGAGGAGTACAATGAGAACCCCCTAGAGATAATGCAGGACATAGAACTCAAAAGAACAATTATAAACATGATAAAAGAATTCCGTGAATTTAAAGAACACACAAAGAAATCAAAGAACTGAAGGAAGATAGGGATAAACCTGAATGAATTCAGAAAAGAGTTAGAAATATTGAAGAATACTCTGGCTGAAATGAAGAAGGAAGTGAAATACTCAGTAAGCCAAATAGAAACGAGAAAGCCTCACCAATAGGATGAATGAAATGGAAAACAAATTATCAAGACTGGAAGATAAAGTGGATGAACTAGACCGCTCAAGCAAAACGAAAAATTTAAGAAATCACAAGAATGGAATATGCAGGAATTGTGTGACATCATAAAAAGGCCAAACTTACAAATCATAGGCATACAGGAAGGAGAAGAATCCCAAGATAATGGCATGGACCAGATCTTCAACAGAATCGTGGAAGAAAATTTCCCCAAATTAAAGAAAGACATGCCCATACAAATACAAGAAGCATATAGAACACCAAACAAACAGGACCAGAAAATAAACTCTCCATGGCACATCATAGCAAAAACACTAAACATGCAAAACAAAGAGACAATACTGAAAACTGCAAAAGAGAAACAACAATTCACATATAAAGGAAAACTCATGAGGATTACAGATGACTTTTCAGTGCAAACTATGAAAGCCAGAAGTGCCGGGACCAAAGTATTCCCAGGTTTAAATGACCACAGATGCCAACCCAGATTACTATACCCAGCCAAAATGTCTATTATAG